AATGCAAAAAAATGCAAAATAAAATTAGAATATTCTGCATCAAGAGAGCATGAAACAAATTTTTAGCTAGGATAGCATTATACAGAATAAAAGGAAAAAAAATGCAAAAGTCATCAACATCCTAACTCTAGTTATAACTAATAAAAGTTAGTATACTACAATATAAGTGTCATAATATTTTATATTTTTACATAATTATAAGTATTTTACAGTATTAAATATTATTATGTTATGATTAAATTACTTTTACCAATATATTATTTATTTGTGAAGAACTTCATTAATATTAAACAAAATTAAAATTACATATTGAAACTATTTGGTAAGTTTAGTTTAACAAATCTTAAGTTTCACAAGAGTTCCGAACCCAACAGTCCCAAAAACCCCTGGCTAATAACCTCTTAGTTGATGCCATAAACAATTAATGAAAAAAAAAAAAATCTTAAGTTGTTTTCTGGGAAAATTGAAAATGTGTAGAGGCTGCATTCCTCATTGAATAAAACGTTGGTATATTTAAGTTTTTACATTTTTGTGATGACGAAAAATGGCAAGGGCCGGGTCAAAATATAGATTTGCCGGGCCAAAATGTTGCCCCAGTCCGCCCCTGAATATGTTCTACACATATTATGTCCATTAGCAGATTTAGGCTGGGGCCTTTGTCCGCTCTTTTGGATACCTCCAAGATGGCTATAGTAAAGGCTATAAAACTTTTATCATAACAATAAAAAAATAAAACAAACACTTTTTTTATTAAACAAAGGCTCTAAAAGCTCATTTTCAGTTTATTTTTAAGTATACAATGTCATTGCATAAATGAAAATTTATAAGTAGGTAGTAAAACAATAATTATTACCATCATTATTATTTTTTTTATTAACTTATATTTTTTATATTATTTTATAAAAGAAGTTATTTGTAATAAAAATCAATTGAAAATATAATTACTTACATTTTATTTTTTTATTGATAAGCAAACAGCCTACAAATCTGTCCTACTTTTGTAAGTATTTTTTGGGGGATTCCTACCTAGAATTTGAAGTGCAATCTTAAGAGGATGTCCGCAGCAACATTAGTGTTTTCTCTCAGACCCACGAGTAACATAGATAAAATTCTTTCACCTAAAATTGTGTTTATGATTTCTAATTTATCTTAAAGTAACATTACCTATTGAAAAAATTATATTCAATTATATTTAATCATTACTTGACTCCGTATTCAACTGGCAAAACAAAACATTTTTGTAATGGATTATTTTACTCTAAGATTACTTTAAAACATAAAAACAATGATTCTACATAAATGTGTTTTGTCAATGTTGTGCGTGGGCCAGAGAGAGAAGACAAGCAGTGTACTGACATCTCTTAATATAATGTGTTAAGCATAATGGAACTGTCAATGAGGATATCAATGTACAACTGTAAAATATACATTGGGCTACTGAGGTATATTGTTAAACATTGATACAAATGTATTAATCAATTATAAATGTCTTCATCTCAAACTTAGTTTAATTAAGTAGAATTTTGTTTTTTAATACTTACATACCTTTCTAATGTGAATTCAGGTGAAGTTATATTTAAGTTGTATTCTCCATATTTATTCCATATCCATAATATTACATTTTTTTTATTGTTTGGTTTTATGTTCCACGTAAATAAACACTGAAGATTATTTATTTGGTTCACAATTTTTCTGGTATTGGAGTCCTTGATTAAAGTAGATACTAGATGGTTCTTTCCAATAGAGTTAATTAAACTTTTTGAGTAGTCGAACTGTTTAACTGAAGCACCATTATTTGAATATTTTGGAATAGCATAAGAATGACTTGCAAAAGACAAGGAATGATTTAGAATATCTTGCAGTATCTCAATAGCATCAACAATGTTATTTTTTGACACTGAGCAGTCATCACTAATATTTGCAGTTTTGTTTACTTCCTTAATTTCAGTGAGTAGTTTTTTGACATCTCTTCTAGTATTTTCAGCTATTTCAAATTCTATAGCATGAGTTGCAATCTTTGTTTTTTCCTCATATTTATTAAAAATCAATTTAAACATTGATGCAAACATATTTATTACCTAATGGGGTAAAATAATATCTTTAAAAAAAAATTGTGTTAGTATAATAGTAATAAATACCCATTCAATAAAACTATACTTTTCGTTTCAATATGTATAACTAGAAGGTGATTACCAATTACAGATGTAAATATATGTATGATTGAATTTTCTTCCAAATACTGCCAAGGCACCAAGTGTCAATGTTATAACTACAATATTAATAATTACGTAATTTAGTATTTATATTTATACACTAACAAGGAAGGTTTAAAATAATTTAAAAACTTACTCTTGAATAGGTGAGTCGAGAGTGCGAGACAATAGAATACTAGAATATAATCTTATAGATTCAAATATTAAATAATAAACACCAGAAGTGGATCTAATGTGTGGGCTATGGCGACTCGGGACACCAACAAAATATGTTTTGTAATGCTAGATCCCTAATTAATAAAAATAGTCCTATAATGCTATAATAAAAAAATATCAGGATACCACGAT